GGAAACTTTTGGATGTGGCATAATGTATAAATGCTGCACCTCCAGTGGTACAGTAACTGACGTTGGTTAGGACTGACGCTATGGCACCAAGGATTTCTCATTTGGCACCTTCGGCTCCTCTGTCCTTGCGCCTTTTCCTCGCATCTCTCTCTCACATCCTCACTGTGAGGAGCGAAGCTGTGAGTGAGGGAAGTGAGGAGACACGTTTGCATGATGAAAAGCACCCCAGCTGTTATCTGTGTGTTTGTTGCCTCCATGTTTTTGAATTAACATGTGTTTCCTTCTATGCTGTTGATTTGCAGATCTACATGGGACTTATTAATGCTAAAACCCTGCTGGGCTCTCCTGTGTCTGCTGCTTCAATCCACATTCACCCTGAATACAACAACCCTGACTTCTTAGACTACAACAGTGACATTGCCTTGATCAAACTGCAAGACCCGATCACATTCAACTCTTCGGTCATGCCAATATGTTTGCCAGCAGAGGGAGCCACATACGTCACTGACACCATAGGGTAAAGAATCTGCTGAGTTTTCATTTCATAATGCTGTAATCAGTTTGATATTATTCTATGTTCTTCAAAGTTATTTTGTGAACTCAAGAATTTTTTTGCTTTCTCTCTCTTGTTGCACCAACATGTGAATCTTGTCCAGCTCCTGAACTGGAGACTCTGATTTGCCTTTTTCTACGACATCACTGTCTCTTCTACATTTTCTTTCAGACTGGTGTCAGGCTTTACCATTACAGAGCCTGACAATCAACGGATTTTAACAAATAATCTGAAGTATGTGCACCTCCTTGTGGTGGAGCAGGAGACATGCAGTAATTCAGTAAATAAACTGAAGGAGACCATGGACAATGTACCAGATCTGACAAACAACATGTTCTGTGCTGGAGTCCCAGAAGGTGGGAAGGACTCCTGCCATGGTGACAGTGGAGGCCCCTTCGCCCTGAGAGATGATGGACGGTTCTGGGCTGCTGGGATTGTCAGCTGGGGGGTTGGCTGCCGAAATCAAGGAACATATGGAGTCTATACCAGAGTTGCTAACTATCTGGACTGGATTTACAAGACTATGCAGGAGAACTGAAAGTTACAATAAAAAAAACAGCTAATTTTACTATTTAACTAAATACACTCTTTGTGCAGTGTTAGCGTGCATTGACACAAAAAGCTATACAGTCTTGTTGACAATAAAATGATCAAGTGCAAATTTCTTCCTCTCAAAAACTGTGTTTTTCCTCATTCTGATGGTTCTGTTAGTCAGAGTTAATGAGCCATTATTGATCCTCTTGTCCTCCACTTCATGCCTGCATTTATTTTTGCCAAGGCAAACAAATCCTGGAGGTTAAATTCCATTGCAAAATATTTCAAACCACAGTCTGTGTCACATTAATGGTTCATCTGAGCATGAGACATTTCGCCTAAAGCTTCAGTCACACAGAGATAAACTAACTGCAGACATGAGATGGACCTACGCTGTTATATGGTAAGCTATGATAACAAATGTTTTCACCTTCATGTTGTAAGTTTTAGTGAATTTTTCATTTTGTTAATGTTTATTTTGGAGAAAAAAAAAAGCAGTATACATACTATAAGTGTTGATCTACACCACAGCACTGTCTACTGTACGAGCAGTTTTTTTAAGGTTGATTAAGTGATCAAATTTTCAATTTCGAAAACTATAGCAATACTATTTTCTTGCAATAATGACAAATGACTATCACTTTTTTGTTCTTTTACTGTTTGTATCAACCTTTGGACTCATACCTTCGTGCCTACGCTCTCTGTTTATGCACAATTCCAGGGTTCTGTGTTTGCGGGTGAGTGGGTGTTGGCAGCCGCTCAACTCTGAACCTGTAATGCAAGGGGAGGTCCAGTCCCCTCAGTATCCCCAGCCTTACCCTCCCAACCTGCTGAGGCAATGGGACCTTTTGGTTCCTGCAGGATACCAGATCCAGCTGTCACTAACACACCTGGATATCAAAGCTTCTTCAGGCTGCAATCAAGATTCTCTGACGGTCAGAGCTATGTCATTACACAGTTTTCAGAACAATGTATCAGTGTGTTCGCACTGTCCACAGCACAGATTTTAATAGTCTAATATTTATTATCTGACTTTGATCGCAGTGTTGATGACCTACAGAAAGTGAGATCTTGAACTGGAAACAGTGACTCCTAATTGATAAACAGTAAATCTGATGGTAGAGAGTGGCAATTATTTTAACTCAAAGTGGCTGTTTGGACTTGTGGGATGAGGGCTTAAGTCTCAGGTCAGACTTGGACACCTTTTCATGTCGTGAGGACTTTTCATGTTTGGTGCCCCCATTTACATACCGAGCAGGTCTCTCCCACGGAGTCTGCCATGTTGCTATACAGAAGCCCAGAACAGAACAACCAAACACTGGCTCTTGATAAGGCCATTCACATTTTTGCATTTTTTTGTCAGTCACTGTAGTTGTCCTGTACACTTTGCACACAGGAGAAGTTTCAGGTGGCTATAATCTGAACCTCACTGCTAGATGCTAATAAATCCCACACACTAGACCTCTAAACATTTTAGCTAAAGGTAAAACAAGCCCTGACAGTTTGTCAGGGAGTGCTTTTTCATGATCTGTGGTCTTACAGTGTTTGTTTTGCTTTTATTCTTTTCAGGTTCTCTATGATGGAAAGGTCTTGGGGAAGTTTTGTGGCCAGGAAAATTCAACTGATCACCCAGGTAAAGAGCCGATCCTTTCTCCAGGAAACACACTGACTCTCATATTCAAAACAAGTGACTCCACTCCAGAGCTCCAACAGCACATCGGCTTCTCTGCTACTTACGAGACAATAGGTAGGACTTTTCTGGACACTTGTGTCTTCTCTACAATGCATCATATCCTTTAACCTCCAAGAGAAATTCCACAATAAAACTTAATTAACATGGTGCATTTCCAGGCATTTTGGTCAGTATGATTAATATAAATAAACATAACCTTTGAGCTGGAACTGGGAGCATCAAAACTTTTGAAGAATCAATAAGTAAACTCGCAATGGCTGCTGTCATCTTGTCCTAGGGGTTATTCAATTATCAAGCAGCTCCAAGATCTGTCTCTATACATAATGTTATAACAATAACAACAGGGTCTCGTGTCATTTAGCTTAAGATGAGACTTTTTCAAATAAGAGAGAAATGCTGTTTTGTTACTGTTACTACATCTATGTATCTTGTGACGGAGCATGCAGGCTGTGATGATGGTTTGATGTTTTTTCCTTTACTGGTAAAATGTTAACATGTTCTTGTTTTGTTCCTCTGCAGTAATTGATTGTGGAGAACCTGAACCTCTGCTGAATGGAGGGGTGACCTACCTGTCTGGCTATCAGAATCAGTACCATTCTGTTGTTCAGTATCACTGTAATGAACCATTTTACACCCTTACTGGGGGCAGAAATGGTGAGATAATTGTGTATTATTGGAAAAATATTATTAAATAGTATTTAAATTTTTGATGTAGCTTAATTGAAAATAAATGCCATTATCTTCTTCCCTCTGGTTTTCAGTCACTTTCACCTGTGAAGCAGACGGAAAGTGGACATCCAACCACAATGATGTCACTCTAACATGTATACCTGGTACTGACACTTTGTGAAACTTAATCTAGGATGCTTGAATTAAAACATGAACGTACTGTATGTGTCCGTGTGAACCTAATTTATGTCTGTCTCATCCAGTCTGTGGCCAGCCCACAAAACTCATCTCTACTTATCAGAGGGTCATGGGAGGCAGTAGGGCTCCAGACAATACCATCCCCTGGCAAGTGATGTTGAGTGCAGATGGACCAAGAGGAGGAGGCATGGTGATTGCAGACCGCTGGATTATGACTGCAGCTCATGCCCTATTAAAACATAATGGAAAACCACTTTCAAACAAGACTGTACAGGTAAGTGGGCTATTTTTGGTGTTATCTACATGCCCATTGCCTCCATGTTTTTGAATTGACATTTTTTTTTTCTGTGTTGTTGATTTGCAGATTTACATGGGACATACTGATATTGAAACCCTGTTGCGCTCTCCTGTGTATGCTGATTCAATCCATGTTCACCCTGAATACAACAGCTCCAACTTCAACAATGACATTGGCTTGATCAAACTTCAAGACCCGATCACATTCAACTCATCCATTATGCCAATATGTTTGCCAGCAGAGGGTGCCACATACATGACTGGAGAGATGGGGTAAAGAAACAACAAATAATTCTCATTTATAATGCTGTAATCCATTTCATATAATCTTATTTATTTACTTTATCTTTTTTCAACCACTTGATTATTTCTTCTTGCAATTTGCTCTTCTTCTTTTCCTTGTTGTGCCAATATGTGAATCTTGTTGAGCCTCTGTACGGGAGATTCTTTTTTGCTTATTCCTGTTTTCAATTTTTTTCAGACTGGTGTCAGGCTTTGGCCGTATGGGCCAAGGGACTCCAGTGGGTAAGCTGTGGTACGTGCAACTCCCTGTGGTGGATCAGGAGACATGCAGTAATTCAATCAGCTCACAAAGTCTGTCAGATAACATGTTTTGTGCTGGAGTTCCTGAAGGTGGGAAGGATGCCTGCGCCGGTGACGGTGGAGGCCCCTTCGCCCTGAGAGACAACAGACAGTTCTGGGCTGCTGGGATTGTCAGCTGGGGGGTTGGCTGCGGACGCCCAGGGAACTATGGATTTTATACCAAAGTTGCTAACTATATGGACTGGATCAACAAGACTATGCAGGAGAATTGAAATTTAGAGTAATTCATGATGTGATGTAAAGATGTTGATGAAACAAATCTCTAAACAAAGTCATACAATACAATACAAGAAAAAGAATTGCTTAAAATATCCTCTTTCTGCAGCGCTCATGCATGTTATGTAAAAAAAAATGAAAAAAAAATATTGAAATCTCTCAAAAGCATTTTTCAATAAAGTTATTTCATATTTATTTATGAAGTCACAAAAACAGTAGGCTCTCCCTCCATTGACTTTTTAGGGTCTTCACTGTACTTTGCACACAAACTCAGTTTTACTCGTCATTCTTCTAGTTTGGTTATTCAGAGTTATTGAGCCATTATTGATCCTGTTGTCCTCCACTTCATGCCTGCATTTATTTTTGCCAAGACAAACAAATCCTGGAGGTTAAATTCTATTGCAAAATATTTATACAGTCACATTAATGGTTCATCTGAGCATGAGACATTTCGCCTAAAGCTTCAGTCACACAGAGATAAACTAACTGCAGACATGAGACGGACCTACGGTGTTATATGGTAAGCTATGATAACAAATGTTTTCACCTTCATGTTGCAGGTTTTAGTGAATTTTTCTTTTCATGAATGTTTATCTTGAAAATACATTTCAGTATATACATACTGTAAGTGTTGAACTACACCACAGCACTGTCTGAGCTGCTTTTAAGGTTGATTAAATAATCAGTTTTTCAAAGTACAATATAGAAACCTATAGCAATACTATTTTCTTGCAAAAGTTAAAATGACTCTTACTGTGTTTGTTCTTTTTCTGTTTGTATCAACTTTGGACTGATACCTTTGTGCCAACGCTCTCTGTTTATGCACAAATACAGGTTTTTGTGTTTGTCAGTGACTGAGTGCTGGCAGCCGCCCGTCTCTGAGTCTGTAATACATGGGGAGGTCCAGTCCCCTCAGTATCCCCGGCCTTACCCTCCCAACCTGCTGAGGCAATGGGACCTCTGGGTTCCAGCAGGATACCAGATCCAGCTGTCAATAACACACCTGGATATTAAAGCTTCTTCAGGCTGTCCGCAAGACTCTCTGACGGTCAGAGCCTTATTATCATTATACAGTTTTAAAAACATCATATCAGTGTTTTTGCACTGTCCAGAACCCAAATTTAGTCTAATATTTATTACATCACCTTGACTTGAGTTAGAACCAGGGACTCCATCTTTTTTCATTTATCAACTACAAATCATTGCAGGGCAGTTCTTATTGTGTATTAGGCTGATCATTCTAATTGATAAACAGTAAATCTGATGGTAAAGAATGGCAAAAATTTCAATTCAAACTGGCTGGACTTCTTTTATGCAGTGAGGACTTGACTCAGACTTGTTGTTTGGCGCCTCAAAGCTGTAACAGACTCCACTCAATGTGTACAAAGCATTTTACATCCTGTCCTCATGCACAGTTTTTTACAGTTTCTGTTAAAGCGAGACTATGTAACTTCTGAAAGACGAATCAACAGATGTATCCTTTTCCATATATCAATTTTTTGACATTTATCTAGGGCTAGGTCGTGGTGGCAGCATGCTAAAGCAAGGTAGTCCAGAGGTCCCTCTCCCCAGCAGCATTTTCCAGCTCCTCCTTGGGCTGTTGCTGTTCCCAAGACAGATGAAATATATAATCTCTCCAGCATGTTTTGAATTGGCCTGGGATCCCCTCCCAGTTGGACATGCCCAGAAAAGCTCCAAAAGAAGGCGCCAAAGAGACATCCCGACCAGATGCCCGAACTACCGTAGTGGGCTCGTTTTGACATAAAGGAGCAGCAGCTCTACTACCATCTCCGTACAAATGTTAGAGCTCTTAACCCTATCTCTAATGGTGAGCATAGCCACCCTATGGAGGGAAACTAATTTTGGCCGCTTGCATCCACAATCTCATCAATTCGGTCACTCCCCACAGCTCATGACAATAGGTGTTGGTTGGAGATGGAGCAGTAAATCAAAGGTTTTAACTTCCTGTTACACCAATCAATCTGTTAATCTCATGTGACATTTTACACTCATTTGTGAACAAAACCCTAAGATAGTTGAACTCCTGTCATTGGGACAGCAACTCACTTCTGATCTGCAAGAAGCAATGCACAGTTTTCCAGCAGGGAACCATGACCTAGGAATATGAGGTGCTGACTCTCTTCCCGCCTGCCTCACACTCAACTACAAATTGTCCCAGTGCATGCTAGAGGTTATGGTTTGATGAAGCCAGCAGAACCAGACTGCATGTCTGCAAAGAGCAGAGGAACAATTCTGAAGTCCCCGACATGCTGCAAAGACTACAGGCAACACCTAACCAGCACGTACTTTCTGTGCCTGCACCAGAGGGAATGACTCTCCACAACAGCAGTAGTCTGTTTTCCTCATTCAAAAAGAGAATCCAGAAGACCGTCTTGACGTTAGTTAGCCAGTTAGCACATTAGCAACACTATCCAATTTTGAAAGAATAGAGCACTGGTTCCCAACTGGTCCAGATTTTCCTCAGCCGTTAGTTCAAGGTCCACACAGTTTAATATACTCAGCTTCATACTGTTGTTGATCTAATCTGCTGTCTCTTTAAAGTAGCTGCCTGTTATTCCCTCACTTTATAGAGGAAAATAGCACTTCAAAATAAAAGGTCGGTGCCAGAAATTCTTCAAAATAAAGTGTGTTTTTTACAAACTTGACATGTTCATAAGTCACTTGTGGTCCATTCAGAATGGACCCACGACCCACCAGTTGGGAACCACTGGAACAGAGCATATTATATGAAACATTTCTGCTCAAGAGCTCATTGACTACTGTAAAAAAAATACCTTACGGAACAAGTTTGTTTCGATCTCACTCCCTGTTGACTTTAGCTTTTTGTTTACTTTCCTCACTTTAGTTTCTCCTCTTGAGTGCTGAGCTGAACTGCAAATCAGAGTGATTTCATTCACCGACTGGCCTCACTGTCCAACATGCTAAATCCACCAAAAAATAAGCCTATAGGGAATGACAAGGGGCAATGGTGTGGGACACACAGTACTGACTAGGGTGGCAGACGCTCACCAACAGCCTGACATTGATCAATGGCAAACCGTCAGCTTGGTGTGTCAGGGCCTTAAGGTATACAGTATTTTGCTGTGCAAGGCGCATTACTGAGTCTCTTCACTGACTTTATGACTGTTGTGCTAATGTCACATTAGTTAAGTGTTTAAGCTGAAGTCTGAGCAACTTGACAGTATGTAAAGGAGCGCCTCGTCATGATCTGTGGTCTTACAATAAATGTTTTACTCTTTACACTTTGCAGGTTTTCCATAATGAAAAGGTCTTGGGAAAGTTTTGTGGCCAGGAAAATTCAGCTGATCACCCAGGTAAAGTGCCAATCCTTTCTCCAGGCAACACACTGACTCTCATATTCAAAACAAGTGCCTCCACTCCAGAGCTCCAACAGCACATCGGCTTCTCAGCTACCTACAAGGCAATAGGTAGGACTTTTCTGTTCACGTCTATCTTCCCTACAATACTAAATGTCCCCTAAACCTTTAAGAGAAATTGCACCATTAAACACAACCAACGTGGTGCATTTCCATTTTTTTTGGTCAGTATGATTCATGTCAATGAACATAACAGCATCCCTTTGAGCTGGATCATCAAAACCTTCAAAGAACCAACCAGTGATGTCACTATGGCTGCTGTCATGGTGTCCTAGGAGTTGTTCAATCATTAAGCAGCTCTGAGATTTGTCTCTATAGATGACATTATGACAATGTTAATCTTGTTAATCAGCTTAAGACAAGACTTTTTCTAATTCACAAATTAAAGCTAAGACAAACAACAATAGAAATATACATAAATAACTTAAATGAAACTTCACGTTAGGTTTTCCCTTTAATGACCTTCTCATTATCAGACATAGATGAATGTTCACAATCAGACCCTGGAGATGGATCAGGTCCACTCTGCTCTCAGATCTGCATCAACAGCCCTGGGTCTTACCACTGCTCCTGCTATGATGGTTACAAACTTAATTTAGACCAGCATACATGTCTGTGTGAGTATCCTATACAGTAAATGCATACTTAATGTGTGTCAACCTTTGAAGCTCAGCAGTTACAGCATATGAGGGATACATTTTCACCCAGCTTTGTATCATAACAATGTGGGTAGTAGCCATGTGTAAATGAACTATGGTAAACTTCCCTCCATCTTAGGAGCACACAGATCTCCCCGCACATATCCCAACTTAAATCGACTGGATAACATGTAACGCATTATGTGGCCGATTTTACCCAACTTGGCTACTTTTGCTCAAACCACAGATGGTATTTCCACATTTTCATATTGCCTGCCAACATGGACACAAAGCAGATCGAGACACCCACCCATGCCTCTCTGTCTCTCAAACTCAGATCAAACTGTTAAACTCGGCAGTGCTGATCAAGTATAAACCAAGATTCTGCATTCTGCTGCTGCATATTTTATGGCACCATTTAGCCATAATACGAGATTGTTTGTTATCAGCTAGTTGTCATTCTGTCAAACGGACAAGCCCACTTTACGTCACCCACCAGCAGGAGCATTTTCTTGTCCAGTGCAGCACAGTGCTTTCTGGCAGTTTTCTTCCTCTTGAGCAAAAGGCAAATGCCACAGTCCTTTCCCTCTGTTTCCTCTGGTCACATAGCACCAATTTCAAAAGTATTTGTGTCTTTTAATTGCTTAGAAAGACCGGTTTTATAAAAAACAGACCATCTCCCCAGCGGTGAAATACTTCTTCAATACTGCTGAGTCAATGAAAAAAAATTATTTTCAATTTGAGGGGAATTACTGAATCTCATCTTCTTCCTACAGTATCCTGTGATGGTTGTATATTTGATAAGCATGAGGGACACCTGGCCAGTCCAGCATACCCTCACCCCTCACCTCCTCTTCTGTCCTGCAAGTACATCATCTCTGTGGAGCCCAGCTTCACAATCACTCTCAACTTCACTGACAACTTCCACATAGATAGCGTGGACACTGAGCAAGGTCCCAGGTGTCTTCATCACTGGCTGCAGGTATTGGCAAATGGTTTCCTTAAAACAAAGGCAATAAAAAAGGCGACTCTGCCTCAGTTTACATCAGTTAACTTTCTACTACTCCTCCCCTCGTAGGTGACCACTCGAGGCAGAGAGCCCATGAAACTGTGTGGTGGAAAGAGTCCAGGTCTGATAGCTACAAACTCTAACACTGTCAGACTGGACTACCACACTGATGCTGAAGGCCTGAGTCATGGCTGGAGCCTGGACTACAGCACACATGGTGAGGGGTGAACAGAGAGAGACACGTGTTTTGTTAATGTAACTACATCTATGTGACTTGGGACCAAGGATACAAACTGATGATGGTGTGATGTTTTGTTCATTAACTGGCAAAATATTAACATGTCCTTGTTTTGTTCCTCTGCAGTAATTCATTGTGGAGAACCTGAACCTCTGCTGAATGGAGGGGTGACCTACCTGTCTGGCTATCAGAATCAGTACCATTCTGTTGTTCAGTATCACTGCAATGAACCATTTTACACTCTACCTGGGGGCAGAAATGGTGAGATAATTGCGTATATTATTCCAAAAATATTATCAAAAGTATTTGAATTTTTGATATATCTCAACTGAAAATAAATGCCATTATCTTCTCCCCTCTGGTTTTCAGTTACTTTCACCTGTGAATCAGATGGAAAGTGGAGGTCAAACCACAAAGATGTCACTCTAACATGTATACCTGGTACTGAAACCTAGTCCAAGAGGCTTGGATTAAAACATGCATGTGCTGTATGTGTCCATGTGAACTCAACTAATGTCTGTCTCATCCAGTCTGCGGTCAGCCAACAAAACTCATCTCTACTTATCAGAGGATCATTGGAGGCAGTGAAGCTCCAGAAAACACCATCCCCTGGCAAGTGATGTTGAGTGTAGATGGAGGAAGAGCAGCAGGCATGGTGATTGCAGACCGCTGGATTATGACTGCAGCTCATTCCCTAACACGTGGCGGAAATCCAGTATCAAATGAGTATGTCAGGGTAAGTGGTCTATTTTAAGTGTTATCTACATGTCCATTGCCTCCATGTTTTTTAATTGACATTTATGTTATTGATTTGCAGATTTACATGGGACTTACTGATGTTAAAGCCCTGTTGCGCTCTCCTGTGTATGCTGATTCAATCCACATTCACCCTGAATACTACAACCCCAACGGCTTAGACTACAACAATGACATTGCCTTGATCAAAATGCCCCACCCAATCACATTCAACTCATCCATTATGCCAATATGTTTGCCAGCAGAGGGTGCCACATACATGACTGGAGAGATGGGGTAAAGAAACAGCTGCTGGGTTTCATTTCATAATGCTATATAATATAATCTGTTTTAGGCCTATATTGCTTTTAATTAATACAATCCCAAAATGCCAGTCAGTTCTTTTTTCCCACTTGTGCAAACATATAAATCATCAAGACAGGACACTCTGATTTGTTTTCTTATCTTGAGCTCATCGTAACTGTCTCTTTTCCATTTTTTTCAGACTGGTGTCAGGCTTTGGCATTAAAGGAACTAATAACCAACGGTTTTTATCAAGGAAGCTGAGATTCGTGCAACTGCCTGTGGTGGGTCAAGAGACATGCAGCAAATCAATCGCTTTGTTGAAGTGGACAAGGGACCATGTACCAAATGTGACCAGTAACATGCTCTGTGCTGGAGTCCCCGAGGGTGGGCAGGATGCCTGCGTGGGGGACGGTGGAGGCCCCTTCGCCCTGAGAGAAAATGGATGGTTCTGGGCCGCTGGGATTGTCAGCTGGGGGGTTGACTGTGGGAAGCAGGGAACATATGGATTCTACACCAGAGTAGCAAACTACCTAGGCTGGATCAACAAGACCATACAGGAGAAATGAATCAGACATATTTCATCACCACATTAATAAAAATTGTTGTGCTGAACAAAACGAGACAAATACTGCCAAATAAAAACAAATGAGGAAGAATAACTTGGCTCATATAGTCCCTCCTTATCCAATTACAATAAAGTGATGAAGGTCAGGTACAGCACCTGAACAGTCAGATGAGTAGGGTGATTAAACTGAAAATTCTGTTTTGAAGACATTTTCCCCTTTGAATTAGAAAGAAAAATTTAAAGCAGCAGAAAACATGTAAGTTAATCTCTGAACAGCCAAATGTCACAGGCAGTAGTCTACCACTTGTATCAAAGGTCATCTATAGTCACACAATTCATTCATGGAGCAGAACAAGGTGTAAACATGACATTGACAAATTATCATCTTACCAAATCATGGCAAACTATAGCAAACGGCTTATTTACATATCCAGCAGACATGGAGCAATATTATCATTCATTAGGAGCCATGTTTGTGTCCACATGATCAATGTAAATCCAATATTTCCTTCTAACTCCACCAAATCCTGATGTAAATATCTGGCTCTTGAACCTGTTTGGGAGTGGACCAAAACAGTATGGATGTGGACTGTTAAAGCAAAACAATTGAGACACTAACATGTTTTGTAGAGCTGAAGGGGAACTGCAGAGTTCTGTGATACTTGTGTTTCTGTGGATTCATAACTACAACTGACCACACACGATTTCACTAAACCCAGGCCTTAAGTAGTTTCTGTGGGCCCCCTGTCCCTCTTCTCTTGATCCATGTCTCTCTCAAGCACTTTTTGAGTTCACACAGTTTGCTTTCTGTCCTTCTCTTTTCTTTTTTGGAACCCCGGGAAAGACATGACAGGGTACACTGGTGCTCCAGGAAAATAAGCACTTACTCACTCAGATCTAGATGCAATCAGAGATAAATCCTGGGTGGAGTTAATTGTTTTGTGCTTTCGAGGGGTGAGAGAGGCCTCAGAGAGCTCCCACTGTTTTTCAGCCAAATTCAGCCAATTTTAATTTAGTTAAAGCACTAATTGCTTATAAATAATTAATAAAAATAAATTAAAAAATGCAAACAAAATCAAACTTTTCATTCCAGGCTTTTCAAGGGCCTCACTCCCATTGAGCCCTGGATAAGCAGTCCCACTTTTGCCCCTACTACGACTCCCCTGCATACATATAGCCTATTATATTCCAAATTATATACAGATGCAAATGTATGTCTCCTTTTTGTAGCTGAATCACATTAAAAATCAAAAACAATCTTACCCAGGGATCTCAGTCAAACACAGACCCATGACCCGCTCTCTGCTGCTCTCTCATTGGACGATCCTGTCTGTCTTTACTTTCACTTTCTCTGCTCCACTGCTGCGTTCTGCGCATGCCCCACAGAGCAACACGAAGCGACAGGTCCTGTACTACCTCAAGACTTTACGACTACATTAGGTTATGTTTATCGCTATACAGCTACTTTACATTATGGATGAGATGAAGGAAAGGCTGTAAAGCTCCGAGTGCAGTGACACAGTCAGCTGTTGTTAGCGCTGAAATCAAAAGTGAAAGTATAGTCGTGCTTTTGGTTTCTCGGCAGTTTTTTTTACTTTATCTTGTTGTATTAGAGTTCAGCTGTGTTACAACAGTTTTAATTGATAAAAACACGGTACCGGACTCCATGATGATGATTGCAGTAATTTTATTTGGAGCCTTCCTGACGTGCGCTCATGGTAAGAGCATTAATCTTGACATATTGGTGCAGCAATAAATGAGGGACATAAATGTCAAAGTCAGTTGATTGTCAAGCTCAGTAATAATCTTTTTAGACTCGGACTATTCGTCTCACAGTGTCTGATAGAAGTTATTTTGGTAATCATTATATGAGTCACATTAAATACATGTAAGTGTGAAGGTGTGTGAACTACTGGGAAGTTTCCTGGAAAGAACCATGTGATTGACTGTAAATATTTGTAAAGTGGGACTTTCACTTTTTGTACTTCTAATAAATTACATGAAATTAACTGCTGTTGTGGTCTAACTCAGAATATCAGGTATCAATATCCATGGGTGTAGGTCTGTCAACATTTGGGGGTCCTCTGCCAGAAAATTTTGAGCACCAAACACTTTATTTCCTGCATTCTGGTCAATTTTTATGCACCAATTTCTGTTTTTTCCACATCATTTAATGGTGCAAATGTTTTTAATTTCGTCAAAATAGAAGTCCTCTGCTACTTTCATGTTTTTACTTGGGGGGCATAAATGCACATGTTTGAAATATTGAGGGGGGCGTGTCCCCTGTGCCCTCCTGAAACCTACACCTGTGTCCATATCATCAGTGCTGGTGCACAGCAGGTCAGCTAAACATGCAAAGATGTGAAAGTTGGGGAAAGGCAAGTTAACAGTTCAACATATAGGCTATGAAGAAAAAATATTTCAGTGGTAAATGAATAAATAAAATCAATGATGAATGGACATAATACTTGATTTAAATGGAGCTGTTTCTTAAAGAAATTTCATCTGGAAATCAACCATTACTCTTAGAATCAACATAGCTGGAAAAAAATGTAATAAATAAAAGTAGATCCATAAAATAAAGCCATACAATTATTTCTGTTTAATAGTCTTCTGGTATTTATTTACCTGATTATGTTAAAGAGTTAACCTCCATGTTACTGTGTAAAGTTAAAACATGTCACTTGTTATTTACAGATATGTTAAGATTTTCAAGAAGACTTGGTTTCTTTTTAATCTGCCCCTTGTTTCTCAGGTGACGGAGTCACAGATGTGGTACTTTCCTGCACCCTGGTGGAAGAGGGAGTGGGGCTGGGTGGAATGGGAGGTGGATCGCTTTTCAAACGGACTCCAGCCACTCTTGTCTTAAAAGACGTCTCAGTCCCTCCAGATGAATCACTTGAAACACTCACGCCGTTTGTCCCACCTTCAATCCCTGACCCAGATGCTATCCTGTTGGAAGCCAAAGGTTTTTAATGACTTCTCTACATATAAAGTTAGTGTTATGTTGCACAACCTTGTGTTGAACTTCTCGTTCTCTCATCTCTCTGTGGCAGTGTCTTCACCTGAGATCCCAAATGTACATGTGTTGCTCCATGCGGACTGCAACGATCAGGAGGTGATGTGTGAAATAAGCCGTTACACCCCTCGTGGATCCCAGGAAAGTTCAGATCCAGCTTATTTCATGGTGTCTCTAAATGTGGAGGGAGTTGAGTTCAGCACTGCGTTGATTCTGCAGACTCTGCCGGTGGAGAAGGACCTATCGACCATCATACAAAGCAAACTGGGTCTGCCTCTTAGCCAGTCAGGAACTCTTCTGACTGAGGGTGAGATCCAGAGTTTAATATCACATTTCATCTTTTCATTGAATCACTTCCATCAATAATATAATTCTCTCACTACTTTCTCTCTGCTGTTGCCTTTGCGTTCTGTCCTTCAGTGATATTCCTGGTGTTTTCCCACATTAAATCTGTGACTGCCGCCCTGAGAGGTGATGCTCTCCTCAACTGTGGCTTCAAGCAGCAGGACGTACCCTTAGCGCAGGAAGTGGGCGTTGAGTGGCGACTGCAGCACAGGGGAAAAGGGTGGAAAGTGCTTGACATGAAGACAAGCCTGGATGATGTAGAAGGGAGCACAGTGGGTAAGTGCTGTGTGTGAACAGGTATGCTTGACCTCCTCTGGTTTATGCAGCTTCTTTAGGAGGATTTAAACTCCGACTGCGACTTCTTGTGGCTCTGAGAGTGACAGCACTGATAGTGTTGATAAAAGTGCATTAGTGACTTAAGTGGCTTTGATGTTCATGAAAAAATAAATGAAAATAACCTGTAAATGCTAATTTTTAGTGAGGCTTTGGGGATGATGTTGGCAAATTTCACAATCACAAAATGAGTTTTGCTAAGTGGCTGTTTTGACATTGAACAGACATAAATCTCTTCACATATTTGGGGCGTGCAAACATGTTAGCCATTGGTATAAAACCAAGTTAATGCATCAGAAAAAAAATAAAAAGTGTGGTTTTAAACTTGTCTCATAAATTATCATGGTAGTACATCATGAAATTAGCTGTCAAACCACAAGACCTATTACACAGATGAGGTAACTAAGACGCAGAAATTTAATTGCAAAAAGACATATAACATGAGTACTAGGGCTGGCACGCTATCAGATTTTTTACTATACCACAATTGTGGCCAATTATTTTATCCCAATATCTATAGAAATTTTGAAAAATAATAATAATAATAATAATGCTATCAGTCAAATTCAACTTTTTTATTGTGTTTTATCTTGATTTTTTGTTTTGTTTTGGGGAGGTCGAGTGAGATTCTGTAACCATAACTGTACAAAGTCATATAAAAAGAACACTTCACAAATTATATTATAAACATTTAATATGTAGGATTGTTCTGTAAGACTTCAAACTTTAAGCTTTTAACAGCCACAGCTAAAAGCCAGAAAAAACTGCACTAAACATACAAAATAGAGAAGACAAGAATAGTACAGAATCGAAATATGTCCGAGAAATTTCTTTGTTTGTAAATACATTCAAAAGCTCTAGAACAAGTAATAAATTGGACCTTGAGTTAATATTGTTTTGTGAATTCCTGTTTGACTTTCTGTCCTCAGTGCATGCAGAAAGGAGGGGATCAAGCATGGAGGTGGCCCAGGTTGTTGGTGAGGGTAACGCCTCTGTGACGCTGAACAAGCTTAGAGTGATGGATGAGGGGACCTACATCTGTACTGTCAGTATCGGTCTTTTCCATGCCCAGCAGGTCATTCAACTCCACGTTATTCGTAAGTTTCACCCAAATCTCTCAATTCAGAAAAAAATCCACTGAATGTCTTTAAATTCTTCCTCTGTTTCTCTTTGTTTCAGAACCACCTCATGTTTCACTCTCAGAGGAGAAGTTGGTTTTGCAGACCAATTCACCCCAGATGTTGAGCTGCCACTGCACTAAATACTATCCACTGGATGCTCAGGTCTGTAGCTAGTATGTTCTTAGATGGGGCTGTTAACCAGTACGTGTTCTGTTTTCTCTCTTTCCTGCCAGTGAACAGCCTGGCAAGATATAAAATCTCAGGAAATTTGAGTTATTAATCTACTGATAACACCACAAAGCAAGAAGTTAAGTAACTGAGGGCAATGAGGAATATAAATTACCATAGGGAGAAGTCTGGAGAGTGCAGAAAGAGGAGGCTTATCTTAATGGTCCAATTAAGGCAAGGAAGCACACAGCTGCATCCAAACATGTCCGAGGTGTTGATAAACAAGATTCAATCAGCCTCAATCACCAACCGTTCACAGGAAGAAAATTTCCTGTTAAAACCCACTTACACAGTTTTCAGGAAGAATCTGATGGAATGCTATGCTATGACATTTTTAATTTAACATTAACATTGTAATGTAACATTGTAATGGTACACTATACTTTGACTTTTTAAATAACATTTTTAAGACATACAATACGGTCACCTTTTATTTTGACATTTTAATGGCATCAGAATCAGTAGTCATAGTATAGTATGTCAAAAACTGTGATTAAAAAAAGTCATAGTATAGCATGTCAAAAAATGTGATAAAAAAAGTCATAGTATAGTATGTCATAATTGACGCAATTTAAAAAAAGTCATAGTACAGTATATCAAAAATGTGATTAAAAAAGTCACAGTAAAGTATGTCATAAAAATATAATTAAAAAGTCAAAGTATAGTATGTAAAAAATTTGATTAAAAAGTCATAGTTTAGTATGTCATTATTCATGTGATTAAAAAAAGTCATAGTATCGTACATCAAAAAATGTGATAAGAAAAAGTCATAGTATAGTATGTGAAAAAATGTAATAAAAAAGTTACAGTATAGCATGTGAAAAAATGTGATTAAAAAAAGTCATAGTTTAGTATGTCATAATTCATGTAGTATCCCAAAAAAATGTGATTAAAAAAGGTCATAGTATAACATGTCAAAAAATGTGATTAAAAAAAAGTCATAACAAAGTATGTCATAATTAATGTGATTAAAAAAAGTCATAGTGTAGCATGTCAAAAATGTGATTAAAAAAGGTCACTGTATAGTATGTCAAAAAATGTGATTAAAAAAGTCATAGTATTGTATGTCAAAAAATGTGATTAAAAAAAGTCATAGTATAGTATGTCAAAAAATTGAATAAAAAATCATAGTATACTATGTCAAAAAATTTGATTATAGAAAGCCATAGTGTAGTATGTCAGAAAATGTGATTAAAAAAAGTCTTAGTATAGTATGTCGTCACAAATCATGAAAAAAAGTCGTAGTATAGCATGTCGTCACAAATCATGAAAAAAAAGTCATAGTATAGCATGTCGACCAAAATCATGACAAAAGTCGTAGTATAGCATGTCGTCACAAATCATGAAAAAAAAGTCATAGTACAGCATGTCGTCCAAAATCATGACAAAAGTCATAATATAGTATGTCGTCACAAATCATGAAAAAAAGTCATAGAATAGCATGTCGTCCCAAATCATGAAAAAAAGTCGTAGTATAGCATGTAGTCACAAATCATGAAAAAAAGTCATAGTATATAGCATGTCGTCCAAAATCATGAAAAAGTCGTAGTATAGCATGTCGTCCAAAATCATGAAAAAAGTCATAGTATAGCATGTCGTCCCAAATCATGAAAAAAGTCATAGTATAGCATGTCGACCCAAATCATGAAAAAAAGTCATAGTATATAGCATGTCGTCCCAAATCATGAAAAAAAGTCGTAGTATAGCATGTCGTCCCAAATCATGAAAAAAAGTCATAGTATATAGCATGTCGTCCAAAATCATGAAAAAAGTCATAGTATAGCATGTTGTCCCAAATCATGAAAAAAGTCATAGTATAGCATGTCGTCCCAAATCATGAAAAAAGTCATAGTATAGCATGTCGTCCCAAATCATGAAAAAAAGTCATAGTATAGCATGTCGACCAAAATCATGAAAAAAAGTCATAGTATAGCATGTCGTCCAAAATCATGAAAAAAGTCATATATAGCATGTCGTCCAAAATCATGAAAAAAAGTCATCGTATAGTATGTCGTCCAAAATCATGAAAAAAAGTCATAGTATAGCATGTCGTCCCAAATCATGAAAAAAACTCACAGAATAGCATGTTGTCACAAATCATGAAAAGAAGTCATAGTATAGCATGTTGTCCCAAATCATGAAAAAAAGTCATAGTATAGCATGTCGTCCCAAATCATGAAAAAAAGTCATAGTATAGTATGTCGTAATTAACGTGACTTAAAAGAGTCATAGCATAGTATGTCAAAAAATGTGATAAAAAAGTCATAGTATAGTATGTCATAAAACTTTGATCAAAAAAGTCATAGTATAGTATGTTATAAAACTGATCAAAAAAGTCATAGTATAGTATGTTATAAAACTGATCAAAAAAGTCATAGTATAGTATGTTATAAAAATGTGATAAAAAAGTCATAGTATAGTATGTTATAAAACTGATCAAAAAAGTCATAGTATAGTATGTTATAAAAATGTGATAAAAAAGTCATAGTCCATCCATCCATCTTCTAACTACTTCATCCTCTTGAGGGTCGCGGGGGGGCTGGAGCCTATCCCAGCTGACATTGGGCGAGAGGCAGGGTTCACCCTAGACAGGTCGCCAGACTATTGCAGGGCTGACACATTCACACCTACGGACAATTTAGAGTTATCAATTAACCTAATCCCCAATCTGCATGTCTTTGGACTGTGGGAGGAAGCCGGAGTGCCCGGAGAGAACCCACGCTGACACGGGGAGAACATGCAAATGCCGCACAGAAGGGCTCCCACACCCGGGATCGAACAGGAAACCCTCTTGCTGTGAGGCGACAGTGCTAACCACCACACCACCGTGCCGCCCCAAAAGTCATTGTATAGTATGTAAAAAAAAATGATTAAAAAAGTCATCGTGTAGTATGTCAAAAAAGTATTAAAAAAAAAAGTCATCGTGTAGTATGTCAAAAAAGTATTAAAAAAAAAAAAGTCATAGTATAGTATGTCAAAAAAGTCATAAAAAGTCATGGTATAGGATGTCAAAAAATTATAAAAAAAAGTCATAGTATAGTATGTCAAAAAATTATTAAAAAAAAAAAAGTCAGTATAGTATGTCAAAAAAAGTCATAAAAAAAGTCATAGTATGTCATAATAAATGTTATTAAAAAAGTCAAAGTTCAGTTTGTCAAAAAATTTGATAAAAACGTCATAGTATAGTATGTCAAAAAATGTGATAAAACGTCATTCACAGGTTATAATTCTCTTTTTTCTTGTGCCTTTCAGATGGAGTGGTTATCCCTCTCTCCTACAGACACAGAGCCTACAGTGCTTCCAGATCAGGGCTCTCTGTCTAGCCACCGACAGCATGGTGATGGGACTTATTCCCTGTCGTCTCACCTCACTCTACCCACCAGTGTCTCCCCTGGAACTAAACTCACCTGCAGGGTGTCCCACCCAGCCCTGGAGGCTCCTCTCTCTGTCAGCCTGGTGGTAGAAAGTCCACAACCAGGTATTAATGTGTGGCTGCTGATGTGATGCTGTTTAACTCTGGATTTTTAAAAGAGTAGTTTGACATTTTTACACGCTGCGTTAAATCCTGAGCTGTTCTCTGTGTGTTTCACTCTACAGGTTCCTATTGGTGGGTTCTGGGTTTCCTGATCGTCACTGTGCTTTTCTTCTACCAGCTCATGAGATAAGTTAGTCTGTACATGTTCTCATAGATACTCCTCCACACCTGGAACTGAGCCCTGAGAGATTTCCTGTGTCATTAGTGAGTCTTTAAGTTATTAATGATTTCATTAGAAGCCATCACTGGTTCACTCTTCCAGGCTTCTAGTGAACCAAAAGAATGCAATTTTGAGGAAAAACTGTATTTCAGTATCTTACTGTACTTGCTTTATACATTTGCTGTTGAGGTTTTTTTTGGTGGTGGCTACTTATGTTAAATGCATTAAGCCGCTGGAAGTTGCATTTCTGTAACCTGTAACATATTAAATCTTAAATCCCATCCTGTACTTTACAGTGGATAATTTATGTCACACATAAAATACCCACTGCGGTTTCATTATTTCTTTCACACTGACTTACTGACCTCTGTTTTGCCTGTCTAGTGCTTGTTTTCAAAGTAAGCAGGAATGTCCACTTGGACTGAACGACTCAACGCCATAACTCGTGAATTTATGTGCTAAGTGTGACAAAATTTCACACAAATGTCTAATAGGATGAAATGATGAAGTAATGACAGTTTATATCCAAAAGTTCAACTTCGCTGTGACATCATAACTTTCTGCACAAAAACTTTTCTTGCCATCACTCAACACTGTAACTCAGAAACAGATGGGGGAGACATTTGGTCAGATACTAGACTAGTGACACTAGTCTTTCATGTCCACCTTGAAACTGTGCTGATTGTATAGATCCTCTGTGCTGTCAGGTTGGAGTTGTGTGTAAAGCATCCACGTTTTGCCCAAAAATACCCTTAATACCTTCTCCTGAATTCCTTTAATGTCTCTGCTACATATATTATATGAGTCTGGACTGACATGGATATATAAGCATTAGCCTGATTGACTGGCAGAGGCTCACAACTGTGAGACGATAATTCTAGTTTACTTAAGAGGGTCAATTGAATTGTGCATGTGTAGGCAGTAGGCACTTTAAGATACTTTTCCAGTTTACCTGTCTGCACAAATTCTTTTATTGTAAATACTAAATCAGTGGCACTATGTTTTTTTTTAATTAGTTATACAGGGACTTAATTTTTTTTTTAATGCATTGTCTAAAGGAGCAAGGGAAGATCTTCAAGGAGGCGCATTCAAGCGTCTCCAGCTCGGACTGACTGGAAGTCCTGAGATTCTGAATTCGATGCTTGTCGAGGCTCAGTGAATTTTAAAATCTGCTGTCCAGAGGAGAGAGTGAAAGGCTCCATGAAACACAGTGGGAGTGTGAGGTGGAATTGCTCAGGCTGTTAAAGAGCTGCTTGGAGATCCTAAGGTTGAAGGTTTGATCCTTATCCAGGGCAGGTGAATGTTAATGTTGCTGTAGAAAATTCTAGACGTAGGATCAGTAGGAGTCAGTAGCCTTAACCACTGAGTTATCCTACTACTACGCATGTCCAGCTGTGTATGTGTGTATCTAAGATAGATATAGAGATGGATAGATATTTTACGACATACTACAGTGCCTATTTTTTGCCTATTATTATAATATACTGCCACATTTTTTAAACACCCAATGCTACGATTTTTTGTTCAACATACTACACTATGACTTTTTCTGTCGACATAATATACTGTTCCTTTCTCTTCATTTTTTTTCAACATACTGTCTTTTTTTCAATGTACAATACTGTTTTTCTCCAACATACTATACTTTGACTTCTTTTTGACATACTATTAGATATAATAGACTTCTTTTTCCACAAACAATACTATGATTTAATGTTTTTGTGGCAAACTATTTTATGAGTTTTTTCCAACATACTGTACTGTGACCGTTTTTAAACAAACTATGTTGGGTTTCACTGCACTCAAATGATTTGTTCATCTGTACAGCCATAAACTAGACATCATTTAAGCGTCCTAAAATGGCTGTTGTTGTCTCCATAGTTCATCAGAACAAAGAAAAGCCATGTGCACTCAACTGTATTATATTGAACAATATTATGAGGGTATTTTTTGCCACGACATTCTATGACATGACTATTTTTCAACATGCTTATATAGTATAGTGTGTCATTAATAAAAGTCATAGTATAGTGTGTCATAAATAAAAGTCATTGTAAAGTGTTTCATGAATAACAAACATCGTAGAGCGATCCCAAAGTTTCCAAAGATGCCAAATGCGTCAGGCTGAATGTGTGTATAACATTTTTGTAAAATTGCTAATCATATTAAGCACACGACTAGAATATTTCCATTTGATGGAGTGGTGCAGACATACAAAAACTGAGTCTCTGGTTTTTATATTCGCCTCATTGTAAACATAATTGCAACAAACTTTTACAGAGCATGGAAGAGGATGATTAGAGGAGAAGGAAGGAAATCTGCATGTTAAGGGGTTGTAGTTGCACTGTTTTCATTTGCTACTGTTTTTTTTAATATAGCTTGTAGTTTGTTTTTATGGCTATTTGCTGCTTGTTTTGTGTGTTTTATTGATATTGTTACTCCTTGTAATTTTTCCCAATGAAGGATTTTGTAACTCTGCAACATTGTTTGAGGTATTTGACATGATCAATATCAGTGCATATCTTGTAATACATCAGGAAATTGAATGAAGCTCTGTTGTGGACAAACAATCTGCATTGATAAGAAAGCTGGCATTACTTGAAGCAGATTAGATTGCAGAAAAACATCTTCTAACAAGGTCCAAATTGTCTCAATATGTCGGGAGAATAAAACAAAGGTCAGCACTCAGTTTTGTTGATGATTTCTTTATTGGCATCAGCAAAAGTGGTAAGCATGCATTTGTTTTTCGCAAATCCAGCTGCATCATCTTACTGCATTTTCAGGTTGTAAATCACAAAACATGTACTCTTGTATCTCTTGTGGTAATTACCTCATAATACTGTCGCACAATATCATCAGGTAATTATAACTAACTGCTACAATTATGCATCTTAATTTTATCAACTCTCAAAATAAGTCCCAAGAGAGGAAAATTAGATTTTCTTTATATCCAACAACCCCCCCAAAAAACCTTAAAGAATTTATAAACACATTTTTAGGAGCATTATCCGACACATGTGCACTATTGTTCTATCCATACAATACTACATATTTTTAAACAGGTCACTATAGTAGCATTTGTTTGCAGTCTCTGAATAGTAGTATTTTTTTTTATCTCAAAAGCAAGTGAAATTAATCAAATTTGGCAAACTTTTGAGCATCGCTGCATTGCATAAGCAGTAATTATCAGATCATAAAGACATTATACACAGGTCCTTTAAACCACTAACAAAAGAAAATGTACAATCGGCAGTTAGATTCAGAAATGGCAGATACACAGATCACACAAAAAGGCAAAACTATGGACACGGTTTGCCATGCAAGTTAGAAAGAAACACCTCATTTTGCATTTACTGCAGGTGAGTCTGTTTTTATGTGAGTGAGGGGAGGGTTGGAGGGGTGGGGGCAGGTGGCTCTGGGTTTCTAAATCATGTCCTTTCTCCCATTTTCCTGCTTTTTAAATATCAGATCAACTTAAACAACAGTCAAACAAACGCTTTGTCTGCACAACTTCCAAAACAAGTTGGCATTTGTACCTGTTTTTTTTTTTATTTAGTGTTTTTAAATGTGACGTTACACATTCATCTGTCTATGGCTGTGACTCTGTCCACATCAGAGTTATGAGACCTTCCTCTGGGTCAGTTCATGTGTACAGTAGATTGTCTGTTAGTGGCTGCTTGCCTTGCTGTGCATATTATTCTGCCACTAAGCACAACACTACCACTATGACTCCACCTGTGGTACAAAAACCAGGTAAAATGAAGCATAGTTATATTCTATTAATAATTGCTTATCAGTCCAGAATTTGAAGTTAGTGTGGTTTATATAGGGAAACAATGCGAGCTACTTTTCCCTGAATCACTTCTTCCTTTCCTTATGCTCTCACACAGTCTCCCTTTCCCTTTTTGAATTTCTTCCTCTCATTGTCGGTTCTGAACGTTGCAGAAAGTTAGGGCGGGAAAGGAAACGAAAAAGTTACTCATAAAAGCCTGTCAGCTAAACTCGGAAAAAAGCTACTGGCTACAATGCTTTGGTTCACAAATACACACACGTACTACAGAAATGTTTCTAATATTAATCTAACCTTGTGACCTTGTGTTAGTAAGTAGCAATGACGGTAGCAGTTGTGAGAGGAGTGTGTTAGTTAGGCATGTCAGTATCAACTTACAAATGTAGGACTCTCAAAAAAGGTAATATGAACAAGCTTTGGCATATCTGGGGTAGAAAGGACTGCAAACTCTTGTTCAATCTCCCTGCACACATTCACATCCTGCATATTGTACATCTCTCCCCTCGTTGCTTCGTTCAGAGGCCTAAGCCCCGTGTGTTCCCATGTCACAAGAATATTCTCCCTCCCTCCCTCCTTCCCTTCCTTTCTCCCTCTTTCACTCCGCCTGCTGCGTCCTTCAATAATACATGAGGTGCAGAGACAGGAGGATGTGAGTGAGAATTTAAACAGTGGAAGAAAGCAACAAGAAGGGAGGGAGAGCAGGGACAAAGAGAGCGGAGACACCTATAAACACTACTGTCATGTATAAGTGCAAGATGGTTTGATTGATGGAAGACTGTGTGAAGAGAGGAAGGAGAGGACGGATAAAAGGGGAGGAGTGGCGCTTGGGTATCTTTTTTTTTTTCTCTTCCCTCTCATATCATTCTCAAGTCCGTATCAATCTGTACTGATGGGCTGAGCTCAGTGGAAGAAGTACACTGCGAATGAAGGAGAGGGGGAGAAGAAGTCATTAGTCTAATGGATCTGACATCACTTAAAACAAAACAAGGAGAGGGCAGTCAGCTGAGCTCTTCTTTTATATAGTGTTTACAAGTTTGTTTCTAATAAAAAGATGGTTAAATGAGTATTATAACTGGTATTTATCGTAAAAACAAGACATAAATAATGGTCAATCAAAGCAGAAGTATGCAGGCTAGACATGGGCATATATCGGTGCTGTCAACATGGGTGGATTATGACACAGTGGGGCCCTGGGCCTGTACACATAAAAGCCCCCACCCCCCCTCAGGACAGGTACAATACGCTATTGTTCTCCCCACAGACTTGAAGGACCCATATTGGATATAGTGCTTAGCACATCTAAAGTCCTATGGATAAACTTTGGGGATAGAAACACTAATTCAAAATGTAACATGATGGTGTCTTTCATGTGACATCTCCAAGGTAAATGTTTAGGCTATCCCTCCATTTTTTCTCTATTATTGACATGATAACTAAGCCCTTTGACAAAAGATGCAAAGTTAATAACAGCACCTTCACGCACAGGCTCTGGCTTGGGGGCCCACTGAGCCCTTGGGGCCCTGGGCCTGGTAGGCCAGTGCGGTAAAACACCCATGGCTGTTACTCTGTCTTATGGCTGGTCGATACAGGGATAATCAAATATCACCATATGTTTTAACCAAATATCTTAATGCTGACATTGTGACTATTTTGTAGGGTTGACTATTGGTGCTTACACAAAATATTTACACAGTGAGATTTTTTTTGGATAAATAATCATCCATGATGTGGATATAATGACTTAGTGGGTAAAGGCAAACACTAGAACAGCGAGAAGAGTCTGGTGAGTTCAGAAGCTTACATCACTGTAGTATACTGCACCCTTTAAAGGTCCAATGTGCAGGATTTAGTGGCATCTAGTGGTAAGGTTGCAGAACTGAAACTGCTAATGTTTGCCAAGCATGTAGGAGAACAACCATGGCTGGTGCTAAAACATGAATGGCGCTATCTAGAGTCAATGTTTGATTTGTCCGTTCGGGCTCACTGTAGAAACAACATGGTGGACTCTCTGGAAGAGGACCCTCTCTGTATGTATATATAAACACCTCATTTGAAGGTAATGAAAACACAACGATTCCTACTTTTTGGTGATTGTTAACTAATCAAAACATAGTTATAAATATAATATTCCATATCTGCCGATAGGTACCAATAAATCCTTCATGCTGGACCTTTAAAACCAGGAAAGACAACACTTAAGACATTATAATATCTAAAATCTAAGATGATACCTACTCTCACATGAATGGCGCTATCTAGAGTCAATGTTTGATTTGTCCGTTCTGGCTCACTGTAGAAACAACATGGTGGACTCTCTGGAAGAGGACCCTCTCTGTATGTATATATAAACACCTCATTCGAAGGTAATGAAAACACAACGATTCCTATTTTTTGGTGATTGTAAACTAATCAAAACATAGTTATAAATATAATATTCCATTTCTGCCGATAGGTACCAATAAATCCTTCATGCTGGACCTTTAAAACCAGGAAAGACAACACTTAAGACATTATAATATCTAAAATCTAAGATGATACCTACTCTCACATCATGATATCAATCATGAAATATCACCCTGCTCTACTCTAATTTCCTGTAAAAGTAACAGCACTACTATCTCAGCTATTGTACAGTGACAGAATAACACCATGCGAGCAGTTCCCATGAAAAGAGGATCCTTGAGAACCAATGTAAGTTTACAGAACGGCCAAAACAGAAAATAAATAAATAAATAAAAAAACCATACTCTGTCCTGACTTTGTTAATCAAATGTAATCTTTAATATTAAATGTCATTAACACATGGATGACTTTATCATTACCGAATACTTCTAAGTATTTGGGGCCAAGAGGGCATACTGTAAGTGCACTTACTAAATAATGTCAGTGTTGAGTCTTTTGGTTTTTGATGAATAACTCTGGATTGATTCAGAATTCACAATTACTCCATTGGCAGTAGAAAGAGCTCATCAGGAGCTTTATATCTGATATGAATACATAAACCTAATTTTTCTCCAATAACAACATTTGTGCCAATCCCAGTATCTGTTCCTCTGCTGTCAAGAGAAATACACTAAATGATCACATACTTTTTTTCTAATACTTTTATCTGTGCACAAAAGCCTATATATCACCTTATCTGACTGTCAACCAATAGATTAATCAATATGTTTTATGAGTATCAAGAGGCTACTTACAGAATATTATTCCAACCACAATGACTCCAATGATTCCCATCATGATCATCATCTGAAAGAAGAAAACAATAACATTCACTATAATGTGACCTTTTTTTATACACACCGTAACTATGTGTGCAGTTCAAACACATCAAAACAATAAAACATTTAATACACTCGAGTGTTTCTGAGTCTGTTGTAAAAACTCTACAATAAGAGACTTCTTTCCCCCAAAGCATCTGCTCAGTCTTCCACATCAGCTCATTAACAGATTAGTGTGTGGAGAGCGGGATCCCCAGAACAGACTGTGTGTCTGCCTCAGTGCACCTCAGCATGTTTGATGCTTTCAAAGAAAAAAGCTGATCTCATTCACACTTCATTTTAATTCTATTCTAGATCTATATACATCTTAATGCACCACATACAAATAGGGATGTTGTTATTTCAGACTCAGGTTACATTGTGAGTTTCTTTTAGTAACAACAATCTGTTTAATGGAGCCGCACTAATGTGCCCACCTTGCAGTTCTTCCACCAGTACTTGTTCTTTAGCTTAGCTGCGCAGCTTTCAAACTGGGAGGCTCCGGCTTGGAGAGCGTCCGCTCTGTCATCCAGCTCTGAAAGCTTCTGGTCCCTTTCCAAAACCTTGTCCACATTCACCCGCATGATATCCACCACCTAGCCCACAGCGGCGAGGATGAGACAGCATTTGGCAGCAGTGGGGAGGAGAGACAAAGATGATGACAAGCATGATTAAAGCAAAGGAAGCTATATATCCTACATAAGAGTTTATAAGTAGTCCAAATCCATTGGCCTATTATATATTAAGAAGACCAAGACTTTCTAGAGAACATAAGAGAAACAGCAGATCATTTTAGATGCCTGTCTCTACAATATAAGTGCTGTGCATATACAGTAAGTCCAGACATTTAATTAGTAAGCCACTGATGAGGTTCCCTGCATTACTGCATCATACTGACGCATTGCACGTAACATCAAGCTGGAATCGTAATCTGGCGTGGTCCAGCTCACCTCCTCGACTTGGGCCTGTGTCTGCTGTAGCCTGCGGTTGCTGGTGGTGTTGGGTGGGGCGGGAGGTCCGCCGCCTGGAGCTCCATCTGCACCAGGGGCTCCTGGAGCACCGGGGGCTCCACCTGGGGGGGCAGCAGCAGCATCTGGGGCAGACCTGAGAAGAAGCACGAGGAGGAGGAAGAGGAATTGAAGTTGGAGTAAAAGAGGCCATTTGGTGATGTGATAACTGATGCATGTTTATGGCCCGGGGGGAGAACTAAAGGCTTAAAACAGAGATTAAAAAAAAGGCACAAATGCAGCTTATTTGCAGGTTCGAGAGGAGGGAAAAGCTGCCACATAGCAAAAGGAGAGAACTGCATATTGTGCAGGGGGAAGAGGCGATGTAGGGTGAATAATGCAGAAAATATGATGTGAAGGGTTGAGGATTTAAGAGATGCAGTGGGGTGAAAAAAAAATATATAGGCCACAGATGGGAAGCCAGAAACAGAAAGTCCTGGCTGAATAATGAGCGAGAGAAGAGGAGAAGTTCTTATGATGGATTACAGAGAGTTGGGTAGGACGGAGAAGGAAAAGGTAAAGCTGGAGAGTGGCTTGCGGAAAAGGGGAAAGGGTTAATCCAGCAGGGGGGAGAGGAGGTACAGGAGGTTTTAAACAGAGCAAACAAGCTCCTCAGGGGAGCAGCCACTGACTCAACATGAGGGACAGTTTGATATAAATCACAACCACTGCAGGACAAGAAATGAATTCAGCAGATGAAGAAGAAGAACGTCTTCACCTCATGAGGCATCAATCATTTGACATGCATGTTCCCAAACACAGAGCAGGTGATGACCTCAAACCCTTGGACCTAAAATACCCTGTCTAACAAATTATTACTATTAAATCCATGGTGTCAGATTATACATAAAACTGGCTTTATATCTAAGGCTTTACAGTGGCAGCAGTCAACCCCTGAATACATAATTTAGTATTGGTGTGACGGAAAATTTTCCTTGCGTCAGCAGAATCCATCAAGCTGAAAGAAATCAGTTCAGTTTCCGACCCCACCGTGCAAAACATGCAGTAATGTATATATAATTATCAAGAGCAGCTAAAGAGGTGTTTCTAATATTGCTGTAGTGAAAAGAGCGCAGCAGAAAAGCCGCATTAATACTCACATCTTCTATGCAGCTGTTTGAACTGACTCACGGGCAGCGGAGGAGGAGGAGGGGTGACGGGCTGTGAGGTGGAGAGGGAGGGTCTGAAGTACAACACGAGAAGAAGAAGAAAAAAAGCAGCAAGATCACAGGAAAAAACACAAGAGGAGAATTTATAGGCACTGGTCCAAACGAAAGTCCAAATTTTCAATTAGCAAAGTGATGAAAGTGCCACGCGCACAGTAAACACAGGCGGAGGGTCTTTGCGCAGTGGAGCCGATCTTCTTCTAGCGATGCATTTATACTGCAAGTCGTCAGCAAAAGTACCGCAATATACCGAGACACGTAAACGGGCCGGGCGATAATTCACCGTGTGGCAGGAAGTGAAGGAGGACGACGCGAGCTCAAGAGAAAAGTACTTGCAAATGATAATCCATTGAGGAGAAATCCTCGGGTGTTTATATTCCTGCAGGGCTGCACGCAGCTCCTCCGAGTGATGCTGAGTCCTGGCAGAGCTGCTCCTGGATGCGGAGACGCAGCGCTGATTGGCTGGTTGTTGAGTTGCCTCTTCTATAAGCTACTGGCAAATGCGTGCAATTTCTAAATTAACGGGGAGGGAGGAAAAAAAAGTCCAGTCATGAGAAATCTGTTGTCTGTCTTTGATTTCTGTCGCCCCCCACCTCTCTCGGGCTTTCTGTCTGCGCGGACGGATGTGCGTCTTGTGGGAAGTAAAGTGCTGTGGCACTGTAGGCTACTGCAATAATGCGTCTCTCCTCCTGCCTTCTCCACTTGGACTCGTAACGACAGTGCGGTACCCCCTCCCCTCCCTCCTCTCTCTCCCTTCACACTTTGCAGTACTGCAGCTCTCTTTGTCGGATAGGGCGGCGGGACGACACTGCGGTACAGGGGATGCCTACAGAGTCCAGAGGCGGCTCTACACTTTTCTGACTGGGGTGGCCCATGTTGGACACCCACTTATGCAGGGGAGGCTTGAAGTAGCATTTAAACAGCATTAATTCACCATTTATGTCTCAACTGCTCATGTATTACAGTTTCTTATATTCCTGTGTTTGCATATTTTATTTTAAAGATAATGCAACCTAATCACAACACAACAAAGTGGCACCATGTAAATAAATTATTATTATTTTTTATGTTTTTATTATTTATATTATTGTTTAACTATATTCATGTTTTATGAATCATGTTTGTTCATACTGTGTTCTTGCTGTTTGTCCCCATCAGTTGTCTTATACTGTCCTAATATCCCCCTGAGACCTAAACTTCTGTGTGGTGTGCATTTTGTAATTTTCCCTAGCTATGTGGGATCAATAGGACCCAATAAGTATAAAAAAACTCAACACTATCAACAATAATAAGGACTCAATGTCCTCAAACAATATTATTATAAATGTATGTACGTATGTTGTTACTGCTGCTAAAATTTGTCAGATGTGGTAAATGGACCTCTACTTGTATAGTGCCTTTCCACTCATCTGACCACTCAAAGCGTTTTTTTTTTTAAGTACGAGTCACATTCACCCATTCACTCACACATTGATAGCCGAGGTTGCCATACAAGGTGCCACCTGCTACTCAGTTTTTAACACACTCACAGACCAATGGAACAGCCATCGGGAGCAATTTGGGGGTCAGTATCTTGCTCAAGGATATGTCGACATGCAGCCTGGAGGAGCTGGGGATCGAACCATTGTTCTTCCCATTAGTGGATGACCCGCTCTACCTCTGAGCCACAGATTTGTTGCAGTATCAAACTATAAACATTATTAATCATAAATTAACATTTTTCAACGGTAAAGTGTGGTCAGGTTTTGTCCACCTTTATGATGGGATCACCTGCAGACTGACTTGGCAGAGATGGCTGCCGTCAAAAAAAAAAAAAAAAAAAAAAGAGATGGCTGTCATCTTGTTTTTACAGGGCTTGGTGTATTGTGCTCTTCCTAACACTAGATGGCACAAAGTGTCCACAAACGAGGACAGCAGGTCTAAGTTAAGTAGAAGGGAAGTATAAGGTCAATTAAACCCAAAATGTGATGTGGGCACAGGGTCTCAGGAGGATATGTAATCTGTTGGCATTAAAATGTCTAAAACTGACTAGACCAATGTTATATGTTTTGTTCACACCAGGGAAAATTTACTGAGCATCAAGCTCCTCACAGCAATGCACTGACTTCATATTCAGTGGGCTAGAAGGATACAAATATATGATAACAACTGCAATAAAGTGATGAATAAAAGTACATAAAATAAATAAGTAGTAGCAATGTCTCAAGACTTATACATTGCTGTTAAACAAACATATCATCTAGCACACACTTGAAATGATCTAATGACACAGACATTTCTAATTTAAATACCTCTTGTAACTTGCTCCATTTATTTGGTGCTAAACAACTAAAAGCTAATTTACCAAGCTCAGTGCTAATCTGGGAAGTTTCAAGGGATAAAAATTCCTGTGAGCGTGTGATGAGATGGATTTGATTTTTAAAGGAGAAGTGAGATAGAAGAGTAGCTTTCCTACCAATGCCTTGTACACAAAATGGAGACAATGTTTTTGTCCTCAAACAGTGAGAGAAGACCACCTCACATTCTGATACAGGTCACAGTGGTGAGTTTTAAAACCATCCCCAGTAATAAAGCTTAAATAATTGTGGTCGACTGTATCAAGTGATTTTAGTGTGGATGAGCTGCATGCATGTACAAAATATCACCATAATCTAAGACTGATTATAGTAGACTGAATAATTGTCCTTCTATTTTCTAAAGAGAAGCATAAGTTGTCATGTCATGTCATGTCGTCATGTCATGCTATCAAATGTTTCCAGCAGAGCAAACATTGGCTCCAGCCCCTCCGTAATGTGCCAAAAGGCATTTGAAAAACACTAGTCATTAATGTGAAACTGCTTTATTCAGTGTTTTTATCAGTTTAAATCACCTGGTCCGTTTGTTTTGAAGAGGAAAAGATCTCTGCAGGTAATTCGGCTCCTGGTAAAAACCTCCTAAACAATAAACAGTGAAGAAATTCTAACCAGAAGAAACTGACTGCAATAACAGCATTGCTCCGTCTTTTGTTACGGTTTTGATTAAGGGACCCCTGGCAGCAGAACATTACATATTGTATGTTTGAAGGCTGTGTTTTTATTCACATTTTTGTTAATAAAATAAAATTTAATAAAGTGGTGGAAAGAATGCCCATCATAAATTTCATAGCCCGAGACGATGTCTTAAAATTGTTTGTTTTGTGAAACCCACAGACAAATTGACAAATTAACTTTAAGATGGAAAACAGCAAATCCTTATTTTTGAGAAGCTGGGACCAAAAGTCAAATGCCTCAAATGAATGATCAGCTATAGGAATAGTTTCCAGTTAACTTGACTAATCCTTCCAGCGCTAACTTCAGGTGGACAGGATCAGAATTCACTGGGGTCAGAGAGGAAACACCTGAACCACAGGCTTTTGTTGCATGATCCTATGCAATACTTTATTAGCAAGGGAAGGAAGAGTTGCATAAACAAGAAACTGAATCTGGAAGTTGTTTATCTCTCCCTCCCTCACAATACAGACTTGACATTTCTGAAAGGTTGCACATGCAGCACATCAAACATTCACTGCACCTCCTACATTCTAAAGATGTCAGAGTAACTACTGCGTGTGAGATCTGCTTTAACTTGAAATTACTGTGGTGCTGAGAGGAAATCAAAGAAAACTTAAGGGAAATCATCAAAACAATTACACTTACGTAAAGGAAAATTTTCATCTATTCTCTGTTCACTGTATGTTACGACAGCATTACACAAGTTCACAGAAACTGTTTTTCAGCCTTTTGACTTTTAAATCAAAGCATTTTTGTCACCTGTTGCAAACGTCTGTGTTGTAAATAGTTATTAGAGGCGTGAAGAGCTGTAAATATTCAGTATTACAGTCGCAGGTACATGTATCTTTTTCTTTCTATCTTTTTCAAAATGATTTTATGACCACTCAGATTTAATGCCTCTTTGCACAAAACATAGGTCCAAAAAGCTTTACAGTTTTGTATCAAAGAACTTGACTCACCTGCACAAAACCCTCACCTTAGCTCCATCCAACACTTTTGGGATGAACTGGAATGCCAACTGGGAGCCAGGCCTCATCACCCCACATCACAGCCTGGGCTTGCTGATGCTTCTGTGGCTGAGTGGGAGCAAATCTCTGCAGCTAGGCTGTAAAATCTTGCGGAAGGTCTTCCTGGAAGAGTTGCGGTTATCACAGCAGCACAGTGACGCCCATGCAAACTCAATATTTAGCTATTATTTTAATGGTTTCTTTCTTCTTGAGCTCCATTGCTGATCTTAGCTCTCTTCACACTGATGTTTTCATTTTAGAGCACTGTTGTAAAATGAAAACAATCTCTGTACACAGAAGCATTTTAGCACTATTTCAGAAATGACCTTCATCCACGCCAACACGCCTAAAGATACATATCACTCGACCAGTCATATACACTGGACATGTGCTTGCTGGCGTAAACAGGAAACAGACTGTCTACTCTGTGGCTGGTTGCTTAGTTCGAGAAAATATTGCAAACAAGGCAAAAAGTAAAACCAGAGACATTTTAGCTTGGACTGGCAGTGAGGTGGAATTGTTACTCAAAGAAACACCAGTATAAGGCGGTCAAGTCAGCCGAAAAAAAGAGATTAGGGGTTGTTACAAAGCAAATACTGGCACATGTAAGAGTGGTACAGGGGGCATTATCCATCACTGGAGGAAGCCAAGGCAATGGGAAAGGAGTTATCACACAAGAAAGATGAAATCACAGAAGTTGTGTAGATGTTGCTATAATGTTTTGGCATGTTGAGACTGACAAGACACAATCGAGAAGCAAACCTGAGTGTCTGCATCACTGTTTTCCAAAGTCTACACTTCCACGAATCCACACTAAAAAACAATCCCTGAGTTCTCAAACTAAAACAGGGTCAGCAGCATTTTCAAAGGTCTCTGTTTTAGGGGTTCAAAAACTAATGTGGACACTAAGCATAAATGTAGCAATAATGATGCGTTTAAAAACAAAAACATGTTAGTGTGGGTGTAGCCTTAGATTCTCAGGCAAGACCGCCATGTCATTTGTTTACAGCTATCGAGCAAAAGCAACCAGCTTGTTGCTGTCTGGGAGCTGAGGGAGCTTCTGTTGGTTAGAAGAAATAAAACAAATATTGTTTTTCCAGTCTTTTTTTGGCTTTTATATCTTAAATTTTGTGTTGGTCATAGGACCAAAAACAATCAAACAGAAGTACAGGAAGTATACTGCTCTGAATCACACAAAGCTTCTCCTCATATGAAAATGATAACTTAGAAAAAAAATGGCGACATACAGCACTTTGACAGCATGAAACACACAGCTAGTTTCCATCAGTCCTTATTGGCTGGTCACATGTATTTGCCAGTATGGTTTGTTCAACGTTAGCGGAATTTGCCATAGCGGTTGAAACGTTTGTAGAGATAACGGATCCTTTTCTCCAAGTTGTGTCTGTCCAGAGTCATCATTCTGTCGCCCACCATCTTCTTCTTTCTTATTAAGCGCTGCAGTTCGTTGCCTCTGAAAGCCTTCACCCAGCAGGGCGCCATGATGAGGTCTTTGGGATGAGCTTTGAAGTCCCCTGCAGAAATGAAGGGAGGAGATCAGTTTGTGCACAGTGTGTGTGAGATGAAGAGCAGAAAACAAAAGTAAAACTATAGGAAAAGTACAGCTGGTGAAGAATTGGGAAGTGGAATAGAGATCTAAACTCAGCAAAGATGAACCAGGGTGTTAATTTGGTTTTACATTTATTGTATACAGAATTTGTCTTTTAAGCAAACAGCAAGCA